AAAGGCAGGCAGGAGACGCCCGGTCAGGGGCCAGAGCCCCCCCGAGAGCCTCCGCCGGCCGTGCGCTTCAAGCTCCGCTTGAGAGAAGCTAGCCAAGTACGTGCAACAGGCTTGTCCCTGTGAACAAGAATCGGGAAAATGCAAACCGAGTGAAGACTTTGCCTACTTGTTCCTGTTCTGCGTTTTAAGAATTCTCTGCTAGAGCTGATAAACCGACCAGCGTTCCTCTTTTTAAAAAATATTTTTATTGAAATATAGTCAGTTTACAATGTTGTGTCAGTTTCTGGTGTACAGCACAATATTTCAGTCATACAGGAACATACATATATTCTTTTTCACCATAAGTTACTACAAGATATTGAATATAGTTCCCTGTGCTGTACAGTATGAACTTGTTTTTGTTCCTCTTATTTTCTCACCACCTTGTTCTGCCTCCAGCCTAGGGCACTGGCCGAGGTGACACTCGTGGAAAGTACGGTCTCATCACACACACAGACACACACCCAGACACACAGACTACACATGGACATGCCCACGTACTGATGCACACAACACAAACAGGCACAAAACACGCACAGACACACGGGCACCACAGACACTACAGACACACAGATGCAGAAACACACAGAAATATGAACAGGCACACAGAGGGACACATAACTATACACACTCCAACATACAAACATGCACAGATACACACAGACACAGACACACAGGTCCGCAGTGGACTGTGCAGCCCCGCCGGGCACTGCTCGGGGACTGGCAGGAAGTCCAAGGCTCTTGGCTCGTTTACAGTGTAACAGGCAGAACCCAAAGAGGTATCCTTACGGGAGGTTCCACTAGAGACCTCTCTGGGAGAACCGTTTATTCCTGGAGCCCCGCTGTATTAGGTGGTTGGAAGCACAGACTTAATAACAAGCATGATGTACAGGACAGGGTACGTTGGGGGCTGCCCAGGAGCAAGGACCAAGGACACAGGGCCACGGAGCCTCCCAGAGCATGACGGTGGCACCACCCCAGCACAGTCCCGGCGCTGGCATGCCAGCAGGAGAGCCCAAGCTTTCTAAGAGGAGGCCCAGTGCCACGTTTGATTCAGACTGTCACAGGGAGCCTGTGTGGACACCGAAAAACCCCACCCACGGGGAGTGGGGCCCCCACAGAGCCAGTGGCCACCCTGGAACAACAGCACATCTGTGCTCATCACTAGCCAAGTTGTCCTCCAGTGCCTCGAGGACACCGGTACAGGGCAGAAGGTGGCAAGGGGACCCCAAAGCATTAATGTGCAGGTGTAATGGAGCAGGACCCTGGGGGATCTTCCCAGCCAGACCCCCTCCCCTATATCCTCTGCTGTAACTCCTCTCTGGAGGACCCAGATAATAGCATCTCAGGTATATTTCTTGAGTGCTTCAGATGCTAAAAACCAGCACCAGAGGGAAGAAATTAACTACTTGATGACCGAAAGCATGTGGCCCCAGACCTTCTGGCGCCTGGGGGTTGATAGTGTTGACCCCCCCACCCCGTTATCTCAACATAAACCCCCGCTGTCTCCCTCATCTTGCCTTTAAATAGGCTTTGCTTAAACCTTCCTGGGAATTCGGGGTTTTCTTGGGCATGAGCCACCCCGTCTTCCTCACTCGGCCCTGCAATAAACATTTCTCTGCTCCAAACTCTGATGTTTCCGTTTGTTTGGCTTCATGGTGCGTCTGACACAGGAATTTGCCTTTGGTGACACAGGCACTCAGGGCAGACAGAAGGTTCTAGGTTACAGAATGGCCTCATACATTGGGAACCTTGGTGTGGGGGCTGACCTGTCTGCAGTAGGGTCATGAAGCACCAGCAGGGCAATCGTGGCCACCGCATGGCTCTCTGTGCTGAACACCCATGTCCCCAGTGGCCATGTGCTGACCCCACGTGCCTTGTGTAACTGCTAAATGTTTGTAGTGGGATACACCCTATACCTGCTCCAGAGATGGGCTTGTGTGGCCTGAATCATGGAGGAAATCTCACGCTGCCGGGAACTGGCATCCTCCGTGTCCAAATCCACATGGCAGTGAATCCCTTCAGAGCAGGTCTCTGAGACCAAACCAAAAACTCTGCAGCGCTGGGTTGCCAGCACACCCTCTTGGCTGTTGAAGCCGGGCCCAATCTGGAACTGAGGGCTGGACACAGCAGCCGCCCTACGAGCCTGCAGCGGAAGTCAGGGTGGCCCCACTGTCCCAGAAGGGGGACGGGATTTCTTCAGTCAGAAGTGATTGAGGCCAGTCTCAGAAATGGCTTGGTGATTTGACCAAGATCTGACCACAGAGTTGCACTTTTCCTGGGTGGCTCAGGAAATTCCAAAACACGGGCTCCCTGAGGGTTCTCAGCAAAGAGCAGCATCACTGGAATCAGACATGGAGGCCAAAGGTGGCTCTTTTGAAGTACCCGGTACAGTTGACTCCAGAACAACACAGGTTCGAACTATGTGGGTCCGTTTACAAGTGGATTTTCAACTGCACAGAGGGTGGGCAATCCTAACCACCGCACTGGCCAAGGGTCCACTGCACTTTCATGTATGAATTCCAGCATATCCATAATACAATCCCTTATCTTACATTGTATGAAGTGTGAGTGTGTGTACATGCCTGTTTTATGTGTTTGCAGGTGATCCAGTGAAGGTGCCAGTGGCCTCACATCCTCAACTGACAGGTGTGGCTCATTGATTCCCATCCCAGCCCACCACCCCCGCCTGCAGCTTCTCTGTATGAACCCCCCCCCCAGGGGTCCCTGTGCCTCCCGCTCGGCAGGCCTCTGCAGTCCCCAGACTTTGCCTGCTCTCACGGCACAGCCCATGTGGTCCTGCGCATCCGCTGGTGCCCACAGGTGGTTTGGCTCAGCCCAGCGTGTGCACTGACCCTTAGTAGATACAGGAGAGGAGGGGACGCTGGGGGCAGCTGGCCAGGGCAGCTTCCTTCTGCCTCCTCGCCAGGGCGGAGAGTAACCTCAGGAGGAGGAAAAGTCAAATGCAGACTCACACGGGTCTTTAGCTACTGCTGTAACAAGCCACCCCAAGTTTAGTAACAAGAATAGCGACCAGTCGTCACGCCCCTAGATTCTGTGGGTCTGGAATTCAAAACTGCACAGTGTAAACAGCTCATCTCTGCCCCCCAAGACAGTCAGAACGGCACCAAAGCAGGAAGCAACTTGAGTCTGGGGGCTGGCATCAGGAGGGGCGCTGGCTTACCTCTGGCGAGGGGGGGTCTGTTGCCTCCCACCTAGTCTCTGCCCCTGACTCCTGGGCTTCCTCCCAGCATGGCGGCTGGGGCCCAAGAGCCAGGAAGTGGAAGCCGCCAGTTCCAGGAGACCTGACCCAGGACTGGCAGGTGTCACCTCTGCCATTTTCCATTAACCTAATGGTCACAGAGGACAGGTCCAAGGGGAAGGGCACAGCCTCCAGTTCTTAGTGGGAGGAATGTCACAAAACATTAGAGTCATGCTTTAAATTGCCATAGACTGCCCTTTAGCCAAGGATGCAGCAACTGAACAATGAAGGCTTGATGCAAGTGATGGGAGGAATTTTGGGCTTAAATGCTACACTTTGAAGGCATTTTAAAATGTAACAGGCTGTGGAGCAGCGGAAACTCATTCATTGCTGGTGGGGATGCAAAACCAGGCAGCCACTTTGGAAGACAATTTGGCAATTTCTTACAAAGTGAAATAAACTCTTACCATGTATCACTCAGCAGTTGTGCTCCCTGGCATCTATCCACAGGCTTTCAAAACACGTTCACACAAAAACCTGTGCATGGATGTTAATGGCAGCTTTTATTCATAATGGCCAAAACTTGGAAGCAACTCAGATGTTGGTGAATGGATAAACTTGTGGTACACCCAGACAATGGAATCTTTTTCCGTACTAATAAGAAATAAGCCA